ATAATTCCAGTTTGTATTTGTATTACTTCAAATATTAATCAATAATATCAGTGTTGTAGCTTTTATAACTATATACTTACTATAATATTACTAATTTACAGTATGGGACTCATTTTGTTTTGCGTGTATGGACTTCAAACAATCCAAAATCACAAAAAATCATCGAACTGGGTGGTAATTATGACGAAATTCTTTGTGGGATTCACGCTCTTAGTATTTGTAGCTAGAACAGTACTGAGAAATAGTGATTGGATGTCTAGACCGACTATTATTAAGTAAGTCAACATAGGAGCAACTCCATTTAAAATATTTTAAAATATTACATTTGAAACATTTTTATTCCCTACTATAAAATATAGTTTATCCTTGCAATTCCATATTTGCGTAGACAATTAATTAAATTTGGATATTTAAAAAAATAAAATGTAAATGAAAATGTGACATAGAAAAATCGATTGTACCTACCTAATGTATATTTTATTTCCGATTCCCAAACGGTTCATATATTACATAATAGTATATGGAAAGTGATGTGACTTTTCAGGGCCGGTTTGAAGACTCTCCCACACAATGCAAAAATGCACTATAATTGGGCTAATTACCAAAGGGACGTTGGGGACACGCAAACTGCTGTAAATCACTACAGAGAAGCGTTAAGGTAAGAATTTAGTAATGCATTTCCTCTAAAGAAAACCTCTGCGTTAAACTTTTACTGCGGAATTAAACAATAACAATAACTGCAATTCTAACTTGTGAGTGCTTGMTAATTACGCTTGCAGTAAATCACAATAGTAATAAATAAACGTTCATAGAAATTTAGATTGAGAATAAAAGAAATATTATGATAAACGCTCAAGATTATGACGTTTTGCGGAAAATTGACAAGGGGTTCATATCAGTTTTTGTTGTTGGTTAGTGTTAAGATCGCTCTATCTCCAAAACGTGCTTTTACTCTTAAAAAATTAAAAGTCTTTGCAGTTTGAAAGCCACAAAGAAGGCGGGTATCTCGTCCATTTTTTAAAATGTGTGTAAGTATATATATGCATATTGCATATATTTTTTCGTCTCTCGGAAAATAATTATTATTGCAAGACGTAAAAGACGACCATATCTCGGCGTCCCTTCTGTTTTTATCTTTGGTTATTTTTCACGAAGACGTTTGGGTATTAAAAAAACGAGTTTTATTGTGGAGATACTCCAACAGCGTAGACAATATTTATGACGAGAGATCCGAGGACTGTTTGTTTTTCTGTTAAAGGTTAAAACGTGCACAAAGCGCAAGATAAACTGCCGCTGTTATGCGTGACATGTTAAAATATAAATAAGCTCCATTGGGATATAACGAAAACTTCGGTGAAGCATAAATTACACGTTTTTGTTTGTATTATCCTCTAACTGATAGTGGCTTCACTACGCTTGATTGCATTGTGTTTAATAGTTTCAATTGTTAAGCTTTATTATAATTATTTTACTTTTTTCAAACAAGTTGTTTTTTTATCAACATTACATTTACGATCGTTTTCAGTTATGTGTAAGCGAAGATTAAAACGTTAAAAAAGATTTAACAGTCTCAAATAATTCRAAATTATCTGTTTTTAAATTCGGTATTAAATATATTTTCTCGTGAATACTCATAAAAAATATGTGCTGCAAATTAATATAACTGTTGTATTTGTACTGTTATTTTATTACAACCAGCTTAACTGACAGGTACGTATTAATATTATTCGACGAAGCTCGAGTTTGAGATGTTATTCAGTCTGATACCATAATTTTAATAAAACATATGTATGATAGTTTTAAATCTTAGGTATTAAATTCAAATCCTTCACATCCGTTTAATATTTTTTTTAAGCAAGAACTTAAAAATAAATAACGGTCGTTTCTGTAAAAAGTATTAAAAAAAAAAATTAAGTTTACGCCCATCAACTGAAATAGTATGAAAGTTTAATGCGAAGCTTGTAGTTCAGTAACTATTTCGTTCTATTTTATTTTTCTAGCTAAAACAATATTTTCTGTGTCGTAGTCTAACAAACTTTTAAGCTTTTAATCATTCGTTTTCGTGCATTTTATTTCCCTCGGGCCACAACATTTAAACAATCATTCAACTACTGTGGGCCATTTTCAAATGCGACCAACAATTTCAGAGGATATGTGGGTTTTTAGTTTACGCATAGTGATCACAACAAAAAATCGGGTTCGTGAGAAATTCGATGATGATGGTTTTCAAACAAATGCGTTCATTTAATTCATGTTTCGTAATTTGCATGTAAATTAACATCTTGATGTTGTTTTAAATACCTACTGTGTAGAATAACACATATTTAAAACACTGTTAAAAGCACTACGATTCTGTACGCTTTTTCATCCTTGAAAACTTAACACGAGTATTCATTTCCTGTTGCCGAACAATCTCCTTATCGTCCATCCGGTCTAAGACTTTACGCACAACACTATAAGCTGCTGCAGTGCAGAGATTTTTAGCTTTTAATGTTTGAGTTTCCCAACAAGACTTAATACACCAAGTCGTGTAAAAATTCTTAATGCTTACTAGTTTTATAACGTATGGTGGCATATTATTAAAAACAATAATCGAAATTATTAATAATTATAAACTATTACCTAACCATTATTAATAACATTATTTAAAAACAAGAAAAGTACCGAAATAAATGTAATTTTACTTGTAAATTGTTTAAGTAATTGACAATTTAATATGATTTAGGAAATAAATTGAGAAAAAGAATGAGAAGCGCAATAATTTAATAATTTAAGCTTTGACCACCTCGTAGGATATTGATCCTCCTTTAAAATACAGGAAAAAAAATAAGGTTTGATAATTTTTTTTATWTAGAAAACTGAGGAAATTGTATTTTATATTTTATAATTGGACTCCATTATGAATTTTCTACGTGTAACAATATTATAAATTACTGAGGTAAATAAATTCATAATTTATTTTGAACATTGATTAAAAATCTCATCTTATTATAAAAAAAAAATGATATTATTACTATTACCTGTTTAATATTTAATAATTATGAGTGAAGATATTTGAAAAATCAATAACAGTTGCCATGTAAATATGAATTTAAAATTACTACAAACACATTTATTTAATTAATTYTTAATAGAATTGGCATGCATATCAATGATAAAAAGAAAAAAATAGAATGATAATTATTTACTTAGGAATATTTACCAACACATACACTTAGTACTAACAAGTATCTTAATTTATATATTTTATGTGA